AAGGATAGAAGGACGGAGAAATCATGAGGAGGAGGAGGTGGAAGTGTCTATATAGATAGGCCGAAGGCGCCCGTAATAGAGGCAGGAGGAGGAATAGGAAGAGAAATGGGAAGGAGGAGAGAAGTCAACAGGAAACGAAGAGGAGGAGAGAAGTCGACAGTGAAAGAAGAAGAAGAAGAAGAAGAAGAAGAAAGAGACAAAGAAGAAAAATGGGCAAAAGAAGAAGGAAACAAGTTGGAATAAGAAGAAGAGTAGAAGAGAAGAGGGGAATGACCAAAAAGAAGTGTAAAGGGGAATGAGAGAAGAAGGAACTAGACAATGAACTTACATGGCTCTAATACAATTCTGCAGACAGTCGACGGTTCAGCGTCACGATGAAGCAGTTTATGAACCAGTCAGTCGTTGACCCTTGTGCACATATGTACAAGGTCGAACTGAGTGTCTTTTCGACCAGGGGGGAAGGGGGAGGGGGGGGGTCCGGTTTAGCGGCCATTGAAACCCGTTAAATCCCCCAGATCCCCGTTGATTTCCCATTAATTGTGAAAACAGGGGACTCCCGCCATTTCTGGTTTAAGACAAAGGGTGCGCAGAGGCTTGGAAACCTGGCACATGACTTTTGCGCGACTAAACTGGGAAAAAAAAGAAGAATCCTCTCACCGCCCCCCCCGTCCCCAACCGCCCACCGACCCGCCACCAACCCCCGACTACCCTCCAACCCCCCGCTACCCGCCAACAGCCCTCCCCCCAAGACTGCGCCCCCCACCGTGCATGTGTGCAGATGTGTGTGCGTGTGTGTGAGTGTTTGATGGGAGGAGGCACTGTGAGCTGCGTTTGAGACTGTGATAAAAAATATATAGTAAATATATACACGGCACACGCATCCCAAACAAGAAAGCAAAGAATATATGTGCAGAAGGACTAGTGGCCGAGGGCATAGGCTGCACAACTGCAAGGAAAAGGGCAAAAGACAGTTCTCAGATCACAGGCTGGTGGGCAAGGGGGAGGTGGGTAGGCAAGCAAGGGGGATGCAACAGCAGATGAACACACGGGGCAGCAAACCAAAACAAACAACGACATAAGACAATCAACAAGGCACAGCGCGACACGCAGCAGCGAAGGGCAAGGGCTGGAGGGAACGGGGGGGGCGGGCGGGCACACCAAGGCATGAGGAAACAATGCATAGGATGACAGGCAGTGGTAAAGGACACAGGCTGGAGGGCACGGGCAGACGGAGGCAGACAATGCTCAAGCGTACAAAACAAGCAAGCCAAAAAAAAAAAACTGTTCCAAAGAAATACGAAGGCCAAAAAAATAGAAACTGACGATAAATTGTTTCGTCGTAGTTGCACCGACTCATCAGGAGGCTAAACCCTCGACAATCTGTGGAATCTCCGTATTTGATGGTTTGGGTCATGAACCCTTTGACCCATGTTGAGGCAGACAGTCCCCAAGCAGAACATAGCAGGGGGCAGCAAAACCCTGCGGAGCACCAGGACTGCTCAGCGCCAAAAGCGACTGCAAGGAACGACACAGCAAAGGGATGAGGGATGAGCAGCACAGCAAACTGTGTAGTGAAGCACAAGGCAACACAAGCAAGGCAGCCACACTGCAAGGGATGACAGGGCGAGCTCCAACAGCTCTGCGACCATGCCGCGAAGCGCAAGGCAACAGCAACAAGGCAACCAACCTACGCGCAAGCAGCAAAGCACCATCGGCTTGGTCAGCCTTTACCTAACCAACTACCTAATACTTCGCAGGCTCATCAAACAGCGCTAAAAGCGACTAGCGGACAGGCAACGAGGCAGCACAGCAGCGAACCGCAAGGCAACACAACAACTCGGCCACACCACACACTGAACATAACAACTTGCAGAGAACCACACGCAGAGCAAGCAAGAGAGACAACAAGGCAGTGGCGGAGCACAGACAAGGGAGTCCAGACATCCAACATCGTGCATCCCAACACAAGGAAAGGACACACAAAAAAAAATGGCTGCAACAAATACGGGACAACTTCCCACTAGCGCAATGCAGAGGCATGTTGTGACCGATCGCAAAAATGCAGAGGCATATTGTGACCGATTACACACATAGCCTGCCCCTAGGCTGTGACCAATTACACATGGCCTGTCCCTAGGCCCCAGCCAAAGCTGTAGGAGGCGATCGTAAAGTAGCCCCCCTCGGCCCTGTGAGATCGCAACTTAAAATATAGCGGCTGGAATGAGCCAGGTGAGGGGATGGATGATGGCTGTAGACCAGCCAATGACAGAGGCTACCGTCTTCACCCGAATAGAACACCCGGTCATTATTGCTGCATCGGGACCAAAAGGTGCCCCAAATATGGGTATCATGAAGACGGTAGGGTACCTCCAAATGGCTTATAAGTCACAAATGACAACAATCACGACAACAAGTAGTACGACCACAACATTGCGACCAGAGAGGGGTCTAGGAGGAGGTCTATAGGTAAGAGGGGCAGATGGTAATCGTATATCTAAGATAAAAGCCTAGTACGTCTAGATTGCAAATAATAACGCCAGCAGTACCATGTAATGAACAATACAACAAGACACAAGCAGAACGATGAAAGGAAAAACGGCTTGGGGGACAGGATTGGGGCCACCTAATGGCACCTATGGCTCTTTGGGGGACAGGAATGGGTCCACCTATGGGACTTTGTGGGACAGGAATGGGTCCACCTGTGGGACTTCAGGGGACAGGAGTGAGTCCACCTGTGGGACTTCAGGGGACAGGAGTGGGTCCACCTATGGGACTCTGGGGGACAGGAACGCAATGGGTCCACCTCTGTGGGACTTTCGCGGGACAGGAATGAGTCCACCTATGGAACTGTGGGGGACAGGAATGGGTCCACCTGTGGGACTTCAGGGGACAGGAGTTAGTCCACCTATGGGACTTCGGGGGACAGGAATGGAATGGGTCCACCCATGTGGGAGTTTAAGAAGAGCGTCGAGCGTCTACGGCTACCAGTAGCGCTCGAAGTTACAGGGCCCGTACTACTATGCTTCAATCTGCCCCTGGTGCCTACAACCGCTGTCTGGTCTGGTCATCCCTGTCGATATGATAGAAGGTTGATAATCCTGAGTGATAAAAACTGAGGTAACAATTGTGGGAGTAGGGATGCGCCAGGGAGAACTAAAGAGAGAGAGGGGAAGGTCGGGAGGGAGTCTCATTAGCAACAGAGACCTCTACAGACGGTCTGGATAACCAAAAGGCCGACTACCAAGGGTGACTACCAGGCGTCTAGCGTCCAACCTGTACACAAATGAGCAAGGCAATGACACCATGCACCATGACTGATCGATACAACATAGGCACGCACATACTTACTGTCTTGCAGCCATTTCCTTGCACGGAAATTGCCGCTGACAGGCCTGGAAAGGCCCGGAAAAGAGGGCAAGGACATCGGAATCCATTCAAACCTGTACTATTTGACAATGGAGCCGACACACAGGGGGGGAACCACTTGAATATGAAGTGGGTGTGCAGGATATATACACAGAGAGAGAGAGAGAGAGAGAGAGAGAGAGAGAGAGAGAGAGAGAGAGAGAGAGAGAGAGAGAGAGAGAGAGAGAGAGAGAGAGAGAGGAGAGATGTACGCTTGCAAATGGGACTCAGCTGATGTACAGTTGCAGAGGGGGCGGGGGGAAGATGAACACTTGCAAAGTGGATGATGAACTCCTGCACTATTTGACACTGGGGCTGACATACAGGGGGGAAACCACTGAAATGCTGGACTAGGTGTTCGGGACATGTACACACACACACACACACACACACACACACACACACACACACACACACACACACACANAGAGAGAGAGAGAGAGAGAGAGAGAGAGAGAGAGAGAGAGAGAGAGAGAGAGAGAGAGAGAGGGGGGGGGGGGGGGGAAGGAGAGGAGGATACATGATAGATGGAGAGGAGGATACATGATAGATGGAGAGGAGGATACATGATAGATGGATAGATAAATGGACGTGGACAGACACAGTGAAAAAGGAACGACGTGGACATCCAGAATGACTAACAATGGGCATACTTGCACTTGGTTCCCTCTTTATGGTCGGAATACCAACCAGAAGCATACAGGTCCGGTTGTCAATGCAGTCAGATACATTAATGGAAGATTATAGACTGAGACTGGCAGAACAAACTGACCAACTGGTGTGCAGGCAAACAGATCAGAAAATGGAATAATAGTAAGAAAAAAAAAAAAAAAAAAAAACTCTCCTTCGGGACATCCATTAAAAGTGGGACGATACAGAGATGATTAGCATGGCCCCTGTGCAAGGATGACACGCATATATCAAGAAATGGTCCCAAAAAAAAAAAAAAAAAAAAAACAGAAATACAACAACAAAAGAAAAGAAAAAATAAAAACAAAAACACAGTGGGCATAACAACTGAATTGATAGATGACGAATATACCCCACAGCAGACTCAGAGCATGCTCACACTAATTCTTTTTCTTCTGAGCTGTGGACGTGAAAGCAGTCAGATTCATCCAGGTCTACCTGTAATCACGTTCAGATACATTCAGGAATAAGCTAGTGTGACTTTAGTAGTATATCCTTATACCTGACAACGGACAAAGGACTTGACATACTGAGATACAGACTGGCAGAGAAGTAATGAAATTCAACAAAAGAACAAAAAAAAAATTGTTTTCATTAATGTTCCAGAATTCAAATTTCAGACAAAATGACAGGGCCTTTATTAAAAAAAAAAAAAAAAAAAAAACATGCCTATTTTTGAAAATGACAGGAAGCCCAGTGCCAAGAAGGTACGACATGGGACACAGCACAGAGGAACGAACAATCGACTTTTCGATGAATGTTCCCAAAAAAAAATAGACAGCTCCTTATTTACGAAAAAAAAATATTGGGAAACAAATTCAAAAAAAAAAAAAAAGGGAAAACAACCAGGAAAACTGTCCTTCGCGACATCCATTAAAATTGGAACGATACAGAGAAGATTAGCATGGGCCCTGCGCAAGAAAAAAAAAAAAAAAAAAACCAGGAAAATTGATATCTGCAAAAAATAAGGACCTCCAGCTACTCTTCACCTCCAAGTCAGGACCTCCAGCTACTCTTCACCTCCAAGTCCCCCAACAGCAGAATCACGATTCACACGTCAGAGGTTCAAACCCCCCGGTGCACGTCCTAGACCACATGTCACACACACTGGCACACGGGGAAGACATAACTGGAATACGGTATACAGTCCTCTCACTATGAAACATAGCGTGAACACACGCGAGCTCTCTCACTAACGACTCGCAAGTTCGGGGGTCCAAACTCCCCCCACACGTCCTCGTGCACAGACGCGCACACTGGCACGCGGGGAAGATGTACCTAGAATACCCAGTCTAACGCTAGGAATCCTCGCGAAAACACGCCAGTTCTCTCACTGACACCCCACCAGCAGAATTACGATTCACAAGTCGGGGGCTCAACACCGCCCCCCCCCCCCCACCACCCACCCCACCGTGCACAGACGCGCAAACTGGCACGCGGGGAAGACATAACCTTAAGAGTACAGTCTATTTGCTATGAATCTTAGTGCGAGCGAGGTCGGCGACTGATATTTCAAATAGAAACAAAAAAGAAAATAAACAGAATGACAATACCATGGCGCTGCAGCTTGACCCGCACAGGACGGAGATCAGACGCCCGCCGTATCAGACGCCCGCCGTATCTCTGATACGAAGCTGAACGGAATACTCGTGAACGTAGAGATGCCCGTGGCCCGGACGAGATCAGCCCAGATTGTTCACCCGGAAGTGTTCCACCTAGATTGTTTGCGCAGACTTGCTCCGCTCAGATTGTTCGTCCGGACGTGTTCGGCCCAGATTGTGCGGCCGAACGTGTTTCGCAAGTCCAGATTGTGCACTGGGACGTGTTCAGTCAGTCCAGATTGTTCGCGCCGATGTGTTCCGCCAAGTTTGTTCGCCCACACGTGTTCTGATCAGATTGCTCGCCCGGACGTGCTCGGCTCAGATTGCACGCCCGGACGTGTGCAGCCCAGACTGTTAACCGTTTGACGTGTCACCATGGACGACGCTTTGACAAAAGGCGATTGGTCGCAAGAGGCAAAAGAGCGCTCAATGGGATTAGTTCGAACACAAAGCTCAACTGAACACTCAAGAGTTCCGCCGGGGTTAGAAAATACCCTAGAACAATCAGTGGAAATTCTTTCAGAAGAATCAGAAGTGGGTGCTTTGGAGTATCCTACCGTTTGTGGAAGCCTGCTCCTCTTCAATTTCTTGTTCCTTCTGCCCACTTATGCCCACCAGAGGCAATAGCTGACGACTTCACACCGTAGCACGCCCCCAGACATACTTCCTTACACTAGTCGATAGCTGACGACTTCACACCGTAGCACGCCCCCAGACANATAGCTGACGACTTCACACCGTAGCACGCCCCCAGACATACTTCCTTACACTAGTCGATAGCTGACGACTTCACACCGTAGCACGCCCCCAGACATACTTCCTTACACTAGTCGTCCCGCTCAGGATGGACTTTTCGAATGCACGCAAAGTGCGGCAGCTATATCCATCCTCCCTGCGCGGCAACCAACATCAATCCTGCAGCCACTGTCGTGAGCAAAGAAGATCCAGGACTGTGTTTGTTCCCTCCAAAGCAGTTGTCTTCCTGCCTGTAGTCTGCAGAATGTGGAACGGGGAGGGAGGACCAACTTGACACCGTTGTATGCCAGACATACTCCCTTGTCACCTTGTCCCTCTTCACGTGTACAGCTGAGATTCACTTATTAGCTCACTTCAGGCACACTGCAGCAGCACCAGCTGCCGGTTCCCGGCATGGATCCTCGTCAGCACAGTATTGCCAAACCTAACACTCACATAAAGCACAGGAAGCGCTACTACTGCGCAATGAATACAGCACAAGCTGACGCAACCACACATTTTTTTCCTAAAGCACACAAAGCGCTAATACTGTGCAAAGAATACCGCACAAGATGACACGGCCACACATCTTTTCTACTGCCAAGCGAACGCCCACTAGGATGACCGACATGTCTACCACACACAAGTCAGGCAGGAACTGTCTGCCAGAGACCGCCGAACTGATGTTTCCGTTCCTGTAGGCTGAAGTAGCATTACGGAAGAAAAAGAGGCTATAAACCGCATACTACCTCCCACAACGGCCCGTTCGAGCCAGAGCCGACATAATGAATCAGCCATAGGATGCAGTCTTTCCACGGAGACGACCACCCATCCCCATCTCGGATGAGGACTAAGGAACACTGGACAGGACTGTTTAAAAGCCAACATCTATATTGCTTTGGGAATGATGAAGCAATGAATAACTGCATCCCATACACTGTGGCAGGAAAGTGGAGAACTGAAGGACAAACACCCCTTTCTGCAATTGAAAACAACCTACTCTCTGCAATTGAAAACAACCTACTCTCTCTCTCTCTCTCTCTCTCTCTCTCTCTCTCGTGTGTCTGTATTGAAATGCTTGATACACTAACTCTACAAAAACGCATGACTGCATGTGTCTGCATTTTTTTTTTAAGCTGTCTTCTCCTCATCGGAGGACAGCTATTTATTTTTCCTCTCAATTTTCCTCACATATATACACCTTCTCAGTATGGGACGCTAAGGGTTGTGGGTTGGATTGTCCTTAGTGGATTCCAGCCTTCTACCCAGCTCAACTCATGACCGGGAGCAGTACCCCGGCTCCTAACACCAGGCGCGAGCTGGAAAGCGCAGATTCTTCCGCAACCAGCCAGAACGCCCAAGCCAACTACCTAAACCGGTGAACCCGAAGTGTACCACAAGTGTCTGCAAGGAAGCTAAAGCCACAGGGAAGCTAAAGCAACAGTGACCAAACTTGATCCTACACAACAGTGTGGATGCAAACTGCCTGCTGTACAGGATGAGTCCTTGCTTCCTAAGTCCTAATTTCTTAAGTGAAGTGTTCTATCCCCTGGCTACACCACCCCCCCAGTCTGCGTTTGTAAGGGTCTCTCCTTTCCAGCCTGCCTGCTTGACGGAGGCAAACAGTTAGTGATCAGCTAGTACTCACAGATTAGGCTACACTTCACCACGAAGCAATTACCCTCTATCTTCTCAGCACCCCAGAGATACTGAAGACGACCGTTAGAAAACGAATCACACATTCAAAATCACATTACAAGACACAGGCCAGTAGACTCATGGCCATGAAAAGAAGTCCGAGCAAATACCACCCATCCAGTCTGAACATCGGCACACACATTTCCACACTCTGGCTGGCTAATCTTCGCTTTAACTGACAAAGAGACAAGAAAACAATCCAGTTCAAGGTAGACTAGACACCAGCGACAATGGGAGGTGGTGGAACACACATCCCTCCCTCCGTACGCTTCTCTCTCTCTCTCTCTCTCTCTCTCTCTCTCTCTCTCTCTCCCTCTCCGCCTGCTAACGATGACATTTTTTTCTCCTTTCCCCGTTCTCTTCCCTGCCTGCATGACCAAACCAATCTCTCTCTCTCTCTCTCTCTCTCTCTCTCTCTCTCTCTCTCTCTCTCACTGTGTGCTTCCCCCCATGTAATGAACATTAGCCTGTCAAAATTGAACTGAGGCGACATACTTCCGCCCAGCAAGGATAGATCAAACAGCACGAAGGAGCCACCCCATTTAGACAGCACCTAATATAGATTTGTAGTACTTCGTACATATGAGCCCGACAGACTTTCGCGAACACTCTCTACGAGTTAATTCACAAGGTGCTTACTCCCTGTGAGATTACTCTCCGATCGAAAATGCGATCCAATGAGAGAACATCGTCGTAGAATGGGACGGTAACGATGGACAAACGACTCACGACTGTAGGACGACTCAGAAGAGCATTCGAATCGCTCAATTCGCTACTTCGGGATTTCCTTATCGCACACTCCTGCTGCCGCCATGTGACAATGCGAACCCACAAGAGACCCTCGTTGAGTGGGACGAGGATGGCTGAACGATCATCGAACAGCGCGTGCATGACTTTAGGATGACTCAGCAGAGTATTCGAACGCTTGCTCACTTCGTTCTACCCCTCGACTTTCCTATCACACTCCTGCCGCCATGCGCAAGATGCACTCTGGATCCCGGCGCAATTTCTCCTGGAACCTGATGAACCAGCGATCGACTACATCAGTAGAGGCCACAACCTTGTCACTGCTTTTGCAACAGGACTGCATGAAATTGAAAAGATTCTCAGCCACCGTTCGTGCAAATTCCTCTCCTTTCTTTTGGTTGCCGACATCCATAGACGGTAGGCCACTGAGCGGGTCCACAGAAATGCCGATTTGGCCCGATAGCGGTACTCCTGGTGCAGTGAGGTGTGGCACCGGAGCGGTCGGTCGGGGCCAGGACAATGGAAGAACTGCAGAAGGGCGGGCATTCGAAACGGCCCCGCGGTATTCCCAGGAGGACCCGGGGGCTTTCACATAAACTGCCAGAGCTGCATCGGCAGGAAGAAGAGTCCCATTCGGGAGAAAGATACATATCTCTATGATCTGCTCGTACGCCGGTCCTGCACGTCACAGCAAAAGCGAAGGCAAACACGTAGAACAGCCATCAGCACCTAATCAATTAGCTAAACACTTAACAGTAATAACAAGCTACTAGGCTACCAGAGTGGCCCAGGACAACGTGCCCAGCCGGGCCAAGTCAGAGAGAGAGAGAGAGAGAGAGAGAGAGAGAGAGAGAGAGAGAGAGAGAGAGAGAGAGAGAGAGAGAGAGAGAGAGAGAGTGCAGGAAAGAAAGAAAGTCAATCGAAGTGGCACTAGAACGAAACGGAATGAGAACGCAAGAAACAGAGCCAGACACAGACACAGAGAGAGAGAGAGAGAGAGAGAGAGAGAGAGAGAGAGAGAGAGAGAGAGAGACATATTCCAGAAAGAAACGGCTATGGCGAAATTGGTTTACGCACCACACTTAGGATGTGGCGGCGCTTCGCGCCTTGTGGGTTCGAGTCCCGCTAGCCGTACACTAGAAACGAAGAGCGATATGTATGGTTGAGGCCTTATTTTCACTTTTCCGGCACTATATGTATCTTTATTTATATCTTTACTCTACCATTAAGTTATTTCCGCCATCAATAGACTTTGTGGTGCGCTCGCCGTGAGATGAGAGGCCGAAGGAAAGAAAATCAAATAAAAGAAAAGAAAACGCTCTTGCGAGCGCAGCTCACCAGCAGAGCAGAGTGGGCCTAAGTAGATTTGAACTACTGACTTTACACTTGGATTGCTCGTGTTTCCCAAGGACAAATTATTTTTGGAATGGATGGTGTTAGTTTGTCAATTGCTCAAGCAGCTGCTACTTTAGCTTCACATAAATTGTGTTTGTCCACCAAGTTTGTTCAATGGTCGTAATTAGCTCAGAGTCAATCAATGATTTTTCTTCTGATAGAAACACGACAGTTTATCCTATCTTTTTATAGTTATTCAATCAAAAACCGGTTGAGTCATTGTTCAAGCGATTAATTTGAAATTGAAATTAAATGTACTAAGGACATGTATGTTGAAATAGGTCATTATTTTTTCATTCTTAGCATTTTTGTTGCATTAGCCTACAAAAAAAAAAATCTATCTTTTTTTTGTTCACTTTACTTTCTCGTTTTAACCATCTGTTTTTTTAGCTTTTTGTTCTGTTATGTTTCTTCTGATTTCTCTATTTATAGCGTTTTTACAAATTCAAATAATCAATTACCATTGTTTTATAAAGTTTCTGGAGAGAGAGAGAGAGAGAGAGAGAGAATGCAAGAAAGAAATAAAGAAAGAAAGTCGATCAAAGTGGCACTAGAACGAAACAGAATGAGGACGCAAGAAACAGAGACAGACACACACACACACACACACAGAGAGAGAGAGAGAGAGAGAGAGAGAGAGAGAGAGAGAGAGAGAGAGGACACTCACCCACTAAGCTGTTGAGGTCCAGTACCCAATGTGCCTGATCCACCTGCACAAATCGTGTGGCATCAAGCACAGAGCTTTTTCCGGGGAACACAACGCCAAACATTTTGTACGCAGTTGGTGGGATAACTTCACTACCGGACTGCACCCGATGTGCAAAGTCTCCAACCATATTGTCAGCAGCTGGTTGTCCGTCGACGTCAATCGGTTCAACCACAACCTCCTCCTGTGGCTCATTATTCAGTGGACCAAGCCCAATTGCAGACGACCGGTCGTTGTGCTCTCCACAATTGCGTTCCTCAGCTTCGTCAAACACCTCTTCTATCCTAACGCCTCCGCCGCTGCTGGCACAAGCCGGACCCGGAAGAGGAATGATCGATGCCGCAGCAGTCAACGGCCCAAACGTGCTGTTAGAACTGAGAACCAAAGACTGCGATGAGCTCGCTCCAGCAAAAGTCTCTACTTCCCTTCTTGCCCGCTCTTGCTGACAGAGAGCACGGAGTTGTTCTACTGAGACTAAGTTCGGGTAAACTCTCTCACTCCAGCCTGCAGCAAGAGAATAGCGAGAAGCAGTTGATGCTGCCGCTGGTAATAATGGAATAATAGCCCCAGCACCCGGCAAGCTGCTGATGTCAACAGATTCAGAAGAAGCCACAGGAGGAGCAACAGCGGAGGCGATGGTATCGATGCCCTCTTTCGATTGTCCATCAATGGGATCTGAGACAATGTAGGGATCTCCTCCTCCTCCTATCTCACCACCCAGACTGACTACTTCCTCCTCCTCCTCTCTCCTTCTCTTCCGGACTCCTTTGCTATGATTGACAAGGGAACCGCCACTGCTGTGTGCGGACGAGGCACCGGAGGAGGAGAAGTAGTCGCGGTTACGCATCCACTTGTGATTGTCATTTCCAAGAGCACACAGCTCCTCCTCGGCTTCTATCTCTGCTGCTGCTGCTCGATCCAACAGCACCCCTCCTTCGTGGTCACCATAGCAAAAGCGACCGCGCACTCTCCGCCGCATGGGCACAGTCGTCTCTGCTGCCGGTTCAGGTGCGCCGACCGGCAGTTGGCCAGAAGGCGGCGGCATGCGCCAATTGCTACGATCTGCAGCGACAATTCCTTCTGTGGCGCAGCTTCCGCTCACATACGGATCAGAGCCAGTACCCACCCCTCCACCATCAGATCCCTTCCCGTGAACCTGAGGAATCAACCACGGGTATTGCAACCATGTCGCAGTCGAACCGCTGACCATCATCGTTCAGCTCACAGGAGCTCCTAATTGCGGCTAGCTGGGGGGATACCAACAACAGTGAAAAACGGAAATGAGAAAAACGGAATGGTCAAGACAGAGCAAGAAACGGAGAAAAGAGAGAGAAGAGAGAGGGGCAGAGGGAAGAGAGGGAAGAGAGGGAAGAGAGAGAAGAGAGGGAAGAGAGGAAAAAGCAATAGCAGTAACAGCAGGAGGAAGGCAAGAGAAGGGAGAGAGAGGAGAGAGAGGGGAAGGGGGGAGAGGGGAGAGAAGCAGAAGAAGGTGGAGGAGGAGGGAGGCAAGGGAGGGAAGAGATGGGAAAACGGAGAGAGAGGGAACAGGGAAGGGAGGGAAGAGAGGGGAGAGAGGGAAGAAAATGAAGAAAAGGAAGAGAGGGAAGAGAGGGGAGACAGCGAAGAGAGGGAAAAGCAGACAATCGTATGTTCCATTTCTTCTCCATGATGTCAAACCAACGCCTTCAATCACGTCATTATTTTCTATAGCGACTGCTTTTTTTTTTTCGCTTTTTTTTGGGAGGGAACTGCAGGAGAGAATATAGTCCTCAATGTCCCCATTGTTCATAGCAACCAACTTTGTTTTTTCCTTTTCCCCTTAGCAACCTTAACTTGACCAGACAACATTCCAAAAGAGGACATCCCAAAACAGGAATACACCCGCTTCTGAAAGATGACCAGACGACATTCCAAAAGAGGACATCCCAAAACAGGAATACACCTGCTTCTCAAAGAATTTTGGATAGTTGTGCCACAGTCGAACGCTTCTGACCAGTGGGACACACACCCACAGGACAGCTTTTTTTTTTTTTTTTCCCCTCCTTTTCGTTCTCAGACTCACCTTTTGCATTGATTTTTTGATCTACTTGTGATGTTCACTTTATTACTGTATTTTCCATAATATTAATGCTGACTATATTAACCCCAACATGTTGTCTCCCTCACAGCATGATAGTTAGTCATGTCACTTGTCATCATGGACTTCGACTACCGTCGTCACCCGAATAGAACGCCCGGTCATCATCACTGTATCTAGGCTGAAAGTTGCGCTGAATGACGGGGTGTTGTATTCGGCTGAAGACGGTAGATCATTCTATTCCGAGACAGTGCAGCAGCTAAAGCAAGATCCCTGCACACAAACGGTCAAATAACGATCAAGCCTCGTTCCCCCCCCCCGGAAAAAAAAAAGTAAAAAAAGACAATTTCCATTCCACATTTCAAATCAGAGGCGGGGGTCGTCAACAGGTATCTGGAAGCATCATCCATGATCAAGACTTTTTTGGTGTTTTTTTTTTTTTTTTTTTTTTTTTTTTTTTTTAAGAGAGAGAGGGGGGGGGGGGGGGGGGGGAGGGTAGATAGAGGAGAGAACGGAACTCACCCGAATTGCTGTGGTTTGAATCCGGAATTCGTCAGTTTTCCCCTCTCTCAGTCCAGGGGGTTGTGAAGATAACCGACTTGCAAAAAATGTGAAGATGGGTGTTTGGATGTTCCAAAGACTTGTTCCTTTTCTGCTTTGCGTGCCCGCACGCCCGAGCGTTCTCAAACCTCATCGAACGGACAACGAGACTTCAGTCTTCAGGGGGAAATGGATGGCCAACCTCGACGTGCCGATCACGCACACGGAGTCAACACGAAGTGTTGTGAGTGTGATCAGAGAAAATAATCCTGTTGCAGATCCGGATAAGACAAAATTTATGCAGCAAGCAACAAACATACAGAGGATCACAGTCAGCGAATGGCAGCCATCAATATTACAGGGGATAAGCATAGTAGTCTAGAATCAAGGGAGGCAAGGAGAGAGGAGAGGAGAGAGGAAAGAGAGAGTGGGAGAGGAGAGCGCGGGAGAGGAGAAGAGGAGAGGAAAGGAGAGGGGGTGGGGGGGCGGGGGGCGAGGGGGCGGAGGGGAGAGGAGCGTACGGGACGAGAGGAGAGGAGAAGAAAAGAGGAGAGTAAATCGTTGTTGCATACCTGCTAGCTTATGCCAGAACTTTTTTTGTTTTATTTTTGTTTTTAAAAAGGGCGACGGTCTTGAGATATCATCATCGTGTTCACCGGCCCCAGGCATTCAGCAACGTCCATCAGGAGTCAAACTTGGGTCTGTAATTCAAAAGTTCATGGGTGGACCAACTAAGCTAGGCTTCGTTGGTTTATGCCAGATTTTCACTTTCCAAAAAAGAGCGAGAGCAAAGAAGAAAAGACAAAAAGGAAGTCCTGCCTGCTTGCTTCAACCATACGATATTTCTTTGCTGTCTCGCTGATTTGATTTTCTCACAGCAACAAACAAGAAAAGGTTATGCCAGCCTGGAGGACAGCGGAGAGAGCATCTGGGTTTTCGAACGTCGCGGTTGGCAGGACCACGGAGGTGATCGGGATATCGTTGGCACGTGGAACAGGAGATCGGGACCTTGTTCTTACCCACTACTGATGATCTTTCTGTGTTGAGACCTGGGACACGGAGGGGATCGGGACGTGTGTGAGGACCTGGAACAAAAAGAGGGCCTGATTGACCGCTTATCTGAAGAGGATATACTACACTACTTCTTTGATGGTTGCCTCCATTGGGACCATCCAGTGGAAAAGGAGTAAAGAGGGCAGAAACAGCAGAGAGTTTGGGAAACCATGGTGATTTTGATTTTTTTTTTCCCGTCTTTTTAAAAGGAAAAAGGAGGTCCAATTTAGTTCGTTCATAACGGCACAGTCAAGAGATCGTAAATCCATCGTTCTAACCCGGCATCTCCACCCAAAAAAAAATAATAATAATAATAATAATAATAATAAAAATAAAATCCACCGTTCTAATACCGACAGGATTCGAACGCACGATCTGTTGACTAACGCCTCCACATCTGCGCCACATCAAAATCGAGTGTTCCGGAGAATGCGTTCTTCAGCACATACAAGTCTAGATTCCGATCTGATAATTCTTTGGGGCCCGGGGGGGGGGGGGGGGAGGAGAGAAGAGGGGGGAGGGCGCGGGGAAGATAAGAGAGTCTAATATCTGATCCGTGGTCCATCAGACAACATGATACTAATGGATTTTTTTTTTTTTATGCGCTGTTAAAACCCTGGCCAAAAAAATAATAATGATATGTTGTCCCACATAATTTGAACATTTAATCTTGTTATTTTTTTAGTACGTAAATTGCACGATTATATGCGCTGTTAATTTTTTTTTAATGCGTTGTTAAAACCCTGGCGAAAAAGAAAAAAAAAATGTTGGCCCACATAATCGAACATTTAATCTTGTTAATTTTTCAGTACGTAAATTTGGACGATTTTATGCGCTGTTAATTTTTTTTTTATGCGCTGTTAAAACCCTGGCGAAATACAAAGTAACCACATAAGTAATAATGAAATCGTCCAAACGTACATACTAAAAAATTAACAAGATTATTAAATGTTCAATTACTAGTCAATTGATATCAGTGAATAATCCATAACTCGTTATGCGCTGTTAATTTTTTTTTTTACGCGCTGTTAAAACCCTGGCGAAAAAAATATATATATATATGTTGGCCCACATAATCGAACATTTGATCTTGTTAATTTTTTAGTACGTAAATTTGGAAGATTTTATGCGCTGTTAAAACCCTGGTGAAATACAAAATAACCACATAAGAATAATGAAATCGTCCAACGTACGTACTAATACGGGGGGGAAAAGAGATCGAGTAGATGTGTGTGCGTATATGTGCGCATTTGTATGACATTCTCCCACATATCTTCTCCCGCCCTTCACAATCCCTCTGTATGTGTCCAAGTGAGAGAGACAGCGGGGGGAGGGAGGGGCGGGGGAAAGGGGGGGGTGAGAGAGAAACAGAGATCGAGTGGGTGTGTGTGCGTGTATGTGCGTGTGTGACATTCTGCTCCTTTCATATATCTTCTCCTCTTATTTCTTTCCTCTTTTCCCTGCGACTGCTTCACCGGAACGTGCCACATGCCACCATCGCATTCAAGTGCAGCCCAGCATCTTCATCATCTCATCATTATCATCATTGTCGACATCGTTATGATCATCAATACCATCATCACGCACCGCAGTCAGATCCAAGAATCAACACATCATCATCACGCATCGACATCAAATCCACATGCCACCATCGCATTCAAGTGCACCCCATCATCTTCATCATCTCATCATTATCATCATTGTCACCACATCGTTATGATCATCAATACCATCATCACGCACCGCAGTCCAAGAATCAACACATCATCATCACGCATCGACATCAAATCCAAGAGGCGTCATCATATCATTAACGTCGTCGCAATCAATTCCATCATCATCAGCAGCAGCAGCAACAGCAGCATACTATCATGATTGAAATCGACTTCTAATACCTATTACACGCCTATTAATGATACTCGTCGTCATCATCATCATCATCATCATCATCATTAACAGCAGCAGCACAACCACAACCATCAGCCGCATTATGACATCACCATCAGGATGATTGGCATCATCACCATCATCGGTTATCTACTGTAGACCTCGCATGTTTGTCAGTCCGTCAACAGTAATTATCGCCCATGCGCACACTCTATATCTATCCTGTCTTCCAACCCCCAGTTCTCTTCGATACCACCCTTATTCACTACACCATTTATTCCCGACCAGATTTCCCCCACATCATTCAGCCCCAGATTTCTCCTTCGATCTCCTTTCCGTGAACATCCTCCTCTTCCTCCTCCTTTCCCTCCTCTCCTCCGCTCGTCTTCTCCATGCCATCCATCCATTTTTTTGGTCCCAAACTCAAAGAACTACGCTCTCAAGCTCTCAATATTTTAGAACTACGCTCTCAAGCTCTCAATATTTTAGAATTAATCCGAAATAATCTAAAATACTCGATCAGGAAATTTCCGCTGCGCTCCGATCGAACTCTTCCGCGTCGTCCTTCGGGACATCCGTGAAAATTGGAACGATACACAGAGAGAAGATTAGCATGGCCCCTGCGCAAGGATGACACGCATAAATCGAAAAATGGTGCAAAAAAAAAAAAAAAAAAAACTTCCGCGTCAACAGTCTCTTATCCCATCGGGTAAGATCCCGGCGACGAGAGGACGACAAGGAAGGAAGACGAAGAAAAACAAAGAGGGAAAGAGGGGGACCTGACGAAGGAAGAGGGGGCCGACGAGCACAGGACAAAGAACAAAGGAGGGAGGAGCAGGAGGAGGAGGAAAGCGGCGCGCAAGGAGGAGAGCTGAACAGAGGGTAGCAGGACGAGAGCAAGAGGACAACGGAATGAGGAGGACAAAAGGAGGACAGTCGACGAGGAGGGGGAGCAATGAGGGAAAAGAGGAGGAAGAGAGAAGGAAGAGAGGACGAGGAGAGGAGGAGGAGAGGAGGAAGACAGAAGGAAATGAAGCGGAAGACGGTAGCAGCAAAGCGGCGGAGGAGGGGAGGAGAAGGAGGAGGAGGATAATACGCAAAGCCTCGAAACAATAACGGAGGATTGACGAAAGCGGCGGAGGAAGGAGAGGAGAGGAGGAGAGGAGGAGGAGAGGAGGAGGAGAGGAGGAGGAGAGGAGGAGGAGGAGAGGAGAGGAGGGGAGGAGGAGAGGAGGAAGGGAGGGGGAGAGGGGGAGACGGAAGGAAATGAGGGGGATGATGAGGACAAGTGGATGCAGAAGCAGCGAGCCAGCTAGCTTACCCGTGAAACGACGAAACCCAACTTACCACTACCTGAATGAACAGACGAAACTGAGAGACAAAAGCACAAGAGAAGTGTGGAGAATTGATTAGCGCGTGATCAGCTACATGTACACGGAAGGGGGTGATGGAGGTCAGCCAGGGAGGCGCGGAACGAAGACGCGGCGTTCAAGAGGACTCCCGTACAACACTGCAGCTCTGATAATTCCAGCCTATGCGAGTACACACTATCATAACGGAATCATAACGGAAAGCCTCAAAACAATAACGGAGGATTGACGTAGAAGAACAACGACGTAAAGCCGCAGTCGTCAGCCCCGAGGAACACAACAACGCCCGCGTGTTTTTTTATCGGACTAGAAAAAGACAGCTTGTACACACAATCATGATGAGGGGTGAGTTCTGCTCGAAGGAAGACGTTAGCTGACTACTGGTTGACTCTTCCCGCCAAAATCGGAACACAACAACGCCCGCTGACTTGTCTTCCCGCCAAATTCGGTAACGACAGTAGCAGCGCAATCCGCGCGCGCGCGCGCGCGTCGACATTCGCACTCACTTGCCCACAACCCGCCCGACCACTTGCACTTCCCCGCCCACCTCCTCCTCCTCCTCCTACTACTACTACTACTACTACTACTACTACTACTACTACTACTGGGGTGTCTTATCCACTTCGACGATTGTCACCATCGCTTTGCCTACCCATAACTACAATTCCTATCTTGTCACGCTGCGGTCATCTTGCTTCGTGGTCGTTCGCTGCCAGATGCCGACATTCGGCCCCGCTCCACTAATCATCAAATGTGCAAAATGAGATGAATCTTCCGCTAGAACGTGGAAATATACACCACCATAGTTTTTGTCTTCTGTAAATATCTTGAGTAGTGGAGTGCTGCCCATTCTTCCGCCATCATCCTGCTCTACCCCCACAGACCAATTTCAAGGAGGGAGTGAAAAGAAGTCAACAAGAGAGAGCGAGAGCGAGAGAGGGAGAGAGAGAGAGAGAGAGAGAGAGAGAGAGAGAGAGAGAGAGAGAGAGAGAGAGAGAGAGAGAGAGAGAGAGAGAGAGGGAAAAAGAAGATCGAGGAGGGAAGGGGTTGCGAGGACGAAGACGAAGGAGAAAGACGAAGAGAGTGGCCCGACGTAGAACCGAAGAAACAAGGAGAACGAGGACAGGAGGAAGAAAGGAGGAGGAAAGAAGGAGGATAACAGGAAGAGAGGAGGAGACGAGGAGAAAGGAGGTGGTCAGGAGGTGGACGACAACCAGCCATACCTGAAGAAGCCGGCAAGCCCCACTCTCCGTATCGTGACTGGGTGACGGAACTCTACGAATTCACATAAAGTTGACTTCAACAGATCTGATTCTTACGCTAGAAAAGTGCACGCGCACGCGGAACAATTTGCTCCAAAAGTGCTTAGCGTGCCCGCGGGAAGACGAATTGTATAATTTGGATGATTTCGGTAGAGAAAGAGAAAAGCTGCTGCCGTTCGCGCCTCCGTTGCCAGGACGAATGAGTTCACACCATAACATATAGCACACAGACCAGTGTAAGAGAACATATTCACACTCGTACAAGAACGTGTTCACACTCGTACTTATCTAAGAGCCATTGGATGAATCTGACCGCCATCACGCCCAGAGCGCAGTCGAAGAAGTCCTAGCGTGGGCATGCACATAGGCTGGAGGAATGCAGAACATTCGCTCTACTACTTCGTACTGATAGGCGACCACAGAGCGGGAGAGACGGCAGCCAACGTCTGAGGGCACACTCCGATAACAACCATCAGGAACTTTCCGGGGAGGAATCTGGACGTGAAGGCCACCAGATACATTCGAGAAAGTGCTGGTGCGACAGTGAAACCAACAACTTTCGTTGCTGCTTAATTTTTCGACCGGATGAAAATCAGAATCAAATGAAAACACAAAAAAAACGACGACCCCGCCGCTCCGACGTGACACGGCGCGTGCGCGCGCGCGCGGGCTGAGCACCTAAAGTACCCTAAAGTACGCGGAAGAGAACGATGACATGGCGCGAAAAGAACTTTCGAGAATCTCCCCCCCCTGGGGAAGCGGGCGTCGCTCCGCTGGTCTCGAAATGTGCAAAACGAGAGCGGATATAGGGCCTCGTCACACCACTCTCGAAATGTGAAAAAGACAAAAATGTGTCGGGTACATCTGGTCATGTTCTAGCCGAAGTTCATTCTCATTTTGCACATTTCGGGAGTGGTGTGGCGATGCCCATATTCTACGTGCATCTTAGAGAGTGAATATTCCGCTAGAACATGGAAAGATACACCGCCATGATTTTTTTGTCTTTTGGGCATCTCGAGAGTAGCGGAGGGCCACTGCGACTCCTCGTGGACATATCGTCATGCGCCAAAACTTATCAGTCGGTACCTAGCTCGGTAGTCCCTGGCCGTCGATGCGCGCCATCTACGGTGGGGGACCGGTAGTCCCGCTGTTGTACGGAGCTCTCCCGGTCCTACTAGACTAGTCTAAACTCCCGCCGCCGACTCTATTCTACAGAATTCTATTCTGCTCAAGGTATCTGACGGCATACTCACAATAGGAGTTTCTGGAAAGTATGTGACCGTTTTATTGGCCGGATTAAGTCGCAAAAAATTGCAGGCCTATTCGTCGTCATCTTCTAAGATTCTTATAGGACTTTCTTTTTCTTTTTTCTTTTCTTTTTCTCAATCTTATGGGACTTTCTGGAAACCTTCACGATTCCAGACTCTAAGAGCTAGGTATCAGATGGCTCATCCTTTTTGCTTTGGGCTTTAAAGTTCCTTTTTTGGAAAGCTACACAGGTGGGACCCTGGACCCGGTTTCCAGCCGGTAGAAAGTTGATAGTTTGAACAGTCAGGTTGGAGGATCGAGCTTGGCTCGTAAGCTAAACTGTCTTAGGCTGCCAGGATAGCTCCGTGTGGATTTGTGAGGTCCCCGGCCTCTTCCAAAAGTTATTTTTGGCAATAAAAGTTCAATGCTTTCCAAAAAAAAAAAAAAAAAAAAAAAAAAAAAAAAGTCGACGTGAGGGCTGAGAGAGGAGGTATGCCCAGCTGTACGAATTTAGGGGAGTTGGCCGGCGGAAAGCCTTCCCTGTGCCTCAGGTTGTTTAATGTTAGCAAAGCTGGTTTCCGGCAGTTTTGGGGAATCATGCAATGTGTATTTGTGCTTCGATGCGAACTTTTTTTGTCAATTTTGGAAAGTAATTTACCAGCAGGGGACGCTGGACCCGGTTTCCAGCAAGTTCAAGACTCAGTTGCATCGTTTTTAATGGATTCGAGCGTTGCTCGTAAGCTAAACTGGCTGACGCTGCCAGGATAACTCCGGGTTGAATTGTGAGGTCCCCGTCCTCTTGATTGCTATAATACAATTTGTCAAGCTTTCCAAAAAAAAAAAAAAAAAAAAAAAGTCGACGTCGGGACATCCGTTAAAATCGAGAAACGGTCCAAATGAAAATGAAAGGATAATAATGAAATGTAAAGATAAGGGAGGACGGGCTTTAGCGCTGCGGTAACGCAGTGCGCCTCCAGGGGAGGCACTAGCAGCTGCGTGCCGCTAAGTGACCTAGCGCTGAGTGCCCGAAGTTGCTGGAGCTAGAGCTAGGGTTTAGCCCAGGCTAAGGCCACCATACCTAGTCGGCTCTAGTGGCCCACGACGACCATGTCTATGCGTTGTGGATGTGGAGCTTGTCCGGCATGCCCCGAGGAGGAGTGCCTGCTGGAGGTGGGTGTGGCGTGTTGCGTGTGATAAATGGATACTTGGAGCGCTGGTGCATCTCTCCTGTTATACGCTATATGCAACCAAGATCAGGGCGTGATTGGCGCTGCTGGTCTCAGATATAGAGCTTTATTTTTCAACAACATATTGATATTGCCAACGTTTTTCATTCCATCGAGACAGCTGTGAGCTTCCTTGATTGGCACGGATTGGGTTTCCTGTACGCTGAGTCGCTTGGCCAGGGGAATTGTGGTTTCCCGTACGTCTTGTTCCTTTGCCAAGGAAAACTACGTGCTGACTTGCTGAAGACGAGTGGCGCGGCTGATCTCAGATATGGAGTTTTGTTTCTCAACAACACATAGATACAACCAAGGTTTTTTCCATCGAGACTCTGCCTGTGTGTATGTGACGGATGTAAATATTGTGAACCTGAATGGGAAGTTGTCCACATTCAGGGCACACAAACAGGCAGTACAGCCGCGGATAAACAGCTATAGAAAGAACATTCCCGTGAATTGCGGATCAAAAAAAGCTAAAGAACGCGCGGACAACGGATGACTGAAACGTCAACAGTCAACAAAAGATGAAAGAGGTAAGTAACAATGAAAATTTCACAACTCAAAAAAAAAAAAAAAAAATGCGTTGAACTGGCTACAACGCAAAAAAAAAGGCAGCTAGCTCAACGCTAGGGCGCGAGGGTAGGGGGCTTTATATTCGAGTTTTTTAAGTTTCTTTGAGGTTATGTTATAATTTAACAAAACAACAACCGCGTGGCTTTGCAGAAAAAAAAGAACCGATGGATTCTCCTACTATTTTGCATCCCCGACGTCGCGCTTTGTCCCACGTGATAGAAATCTCAACGTTGAGCTAACTCAACGGTGCAAGTGGGACGAGGCCCCAGGGCGTCCTCGGGGAAATTTTGGAATTTTGGCGGCGGCGTTCCACGTATCCTGGGGGAATGGCTCCAAGGACGAATCCTGGATGACTTCCCGCAGCCTATTTTATAAGATTATATGCGGCCATGCGAGGTGTGTCCGAAGTGCGGTTTGGGATGTCCGCTCAAGAGGCATGTTGGTCCACAGGCGACGGGCATGAATACATGGGGGGGCGCCCCCCCCAAAAAAGAAAGGTGGGAATGTCCCCCATAAAAAAATTAAAACTTGAGTTTCAGCGAGGGACGACGGCTAGGCGGCACACAGGCATTCACAGTGCGGCGGCTAGGCAGTGGACATTTTGTTTTCCCCCCCATCCCTTTCACACCGTCTCCTTCTCGCCCCGTTGAGTGATGACGGCGCCGCGTAGTGTGTGGTGGAAGGTGTGTCCCGCGAAGAGGTCTGTCGCCAGGTCGGCTCCTAGAGTGACTGTGGGTGGCAGCTTGGAGCGCGGCGAAGACCTCCGTTGTGCCATCATCTGTTCCCGTCATCCTGAGGACGTGTAAAGTGCAGCTGACGTGGCACGTGGACGAACATCTCCCGCGATCCTCGATCAAGACGAGTGAGAGGAGAGGTTGATCAAGAAATTTTGACTGTTGCGCGTAGCGGCATCACTAGATCTTGGGTCGAGAGTGCGCGCTCGGCGATGCGGCAAACTTGAGCTGCATCTGATGGTTTTGCTGGTGTACGGTTGAACCTGGTCGTATTGATGACCAGGTGCCTTCACTCTTTATGATAATTGTGGTAGAGTAAGAAAGGAGCGTGTTGGGATCAGGCAACTAAAGGATAAACTTATGTATGTCCCTGTTATCGATGAGACTCGGAGAGAGAAGATTGAAGGTGACGGTATGAGGATACGTACCTTAGTCGTGGCAACAACTTCCATAATCGATGTAGACATGATTCGTCTGCTGTTGCGGCTAGCAAGGAGCGAACTGTGGGTGAATACTTACCTGGCCGGGACAGTTGGCCAGATGCATCAGAGAACAGGACGAGAGAGAGAGAGGACGACCGAAGAAGAATGTATACCCGACAGGTTGAGGCGATAATGAGGGATGAACCGAGAAGCAAGTGGTTGAAGATGTAACTTACTTGTGGTCGGGGGAGGCGTTTTTCCCATTGATCGGAGCAGCCGGCTAGGGCACCACTCAATCCACCGAACGAAGTAGCAGCAAGAGAACTGCAGGCTTGGAAACTTACCCGGTGGTCGGTGCATTGTTCAACTAAAGAGGGACGACTACCCATGATCTCTTTGCATGCACAGTCAAGAAGGGAAGAAGCATCAAACCATGGTCTAACGCTGGTCGCCCCATGCTGCAGTCTGCAGGTAGGGTGTCGCTGGTGTTGCTGAACTCCGTACGGATTACTACCGGCAGTAAGTTGTGCAAGAGAATGCTGCTGATTGCAGAGTTCGAGTTGTTGCTGGTGACGAACTGGGTGACCATACGCTGTTGTGCACGGCTGTCAGGTGTGCGTGTTGGCAAGTTGCTACATACTGCTGGGTTGTACAACAGGTGCAAGCTGCGGTACACGATTGCAGGGCACACAGTGTCGGCGGACTGCTGTTGCATTTTTGCGTGAACATAACAGCGGCGCATGGGGGGATTGGCTAGGCGACAACGAGAAAGTCATTGCTGCGGATTGAAGGGTCGTCAGGAGGTTGATACCCAACAGTTTGACTTCAGTTTGTTCAACGGCTGCACATGTTTTGCTACCATTGCGGGGTCCTC